CCGCCGGCTGGCGCCCCTGGGGACACCCCTCTGTGACTCGTCCTCTGTGCTGTCACGGGCGCCAGAGCCCCACGGCGACACCCCGCCCGGCCGGCCACGGCCATTGCCCCTGCCTCTCCGGCCCCTGCAACGTGCAAAGCACAACCCCCCCCGGCGGGACAGAGCTCCCAGGGCCCCGAAATCTCCCCAGAAAGAGCAGCAGGGGCGGCACAAGGGCGTCCCTGGCTTGCACAGGGAGCTCCACGCCCGGCTGAGCCCCGGGGTCGGCCTTCCGGCTCCCCCCACGCCACCACCACCACCAGCAGCAGCGAGGAGCCTTTGGGGAGAAGCTGTTTCTCATGCTTTCATACGTGTGCGTGTAGCACGTGCGCTCACACTTCTGCTACCCCAACCTATGTTGCATAATTATATACCTGCACGGCACCCAGAGGCTTTTGACTGCCCAGCCTGAAATTAATCAGAAATCCATTTATGAGCAGAGCGATGGAGGCATATCTGTTAGTGCTCGTATTGCTACTGTCTCTAACGAGAAGGAAAAGTCAAGACAAGGTAAAGAGAAAGCAGGTCGCTTCCCCCGGGGAGCAACCTGGCTGAGCCCCATGGTCGGGCTCCCAGTCCCAGCTCCCTTCTCACCTGCAGCAGCTGCAGCAGCAGAGAGGAGTCTTTGGCAGGGACCGAGCAGAGCGAGTTCTGCTCCCGCCTCCCCGAGGGGTTTGCTCCTTGTGACCCCTGCAGGCCGCTATTGTGTCCGTGCTCTGTCAAGCAACAGGGACATATTGATACGCACTATCCCTAAGCCCACCAAAGCCAAGGAAAAGCAAACTGGGCAACCGGAGAAACGTTAGAACCCACTGGCTATCATGTACTTCCGACAACATTTGTGCCAAATATTACCTTGAAATTGAATATAAGAAAGAACACGTCGGCCACAGGCTGCACAAGGTCTTCCCTTTGTAAAGCTTGGTGGGTATTGTCAGTCTTCTGAAAAAATGGTGCCAGTAGGAAACACAGTCTCTTTGTATGGAAATCCCTATAAATTGTCGCAGAGATGAAACATTAGGTCTTGATAGCATCATGAGTTTTGCTTCAGATTTCAAAAACTCGAAGGACTCTCCAGCTCAGCTTGTTCTCCAAGAAAGGCAAAATACGAGAACGTATGGATCCCAGAGAGAAAGGAATTGGCACTAGAGTGGAACAAAAGCAGATTTCTGACGTGTACGCCCCAAGCTGCAGGGTTGCAGGTCACCCCTCACCTGTTGCCCAGCTCTGGAGTCCTCTTAATTCTTTGCCCAGAGTTTCTGTGATTTGGACACTTTGCTCAAAGCTTTGTTCAACTCTTGAGTCATGTACTAAAATCTAGTACCCGGGTCTAAGCTTCTTGCTGCTTTATTCCCTTCCCAGCAAATTTACCTTCGGTAAAATGCAACCCGCCTTGCATTTTTTCCTAGGTCTTTGTTATTATACTTTGGGAAAAATAAGGAATCTCAGTGCTATCAGTGTTTCAGTGTTGACCATAAATCAATGGGGTTTGATTTCTTCTTCAATGTGGAAGGTCTCACATTTTAAGTGCACAAGAAGTGCATCTAAGAATATACAGGCATGCCTACAAGCAAAGGTACTAGTTTGAATATATGATACAACTGTTTAAATAGTTATCGCACAAAAAGATAGCATATATGTGTTCTGGTTCTGGCTGGGATAGAGTTAATTTTCTTCCTAGTAGCTGGTACAGTGTTGTCGTTTGGATTTAGAATGAGTATAATGTTGATAACACACCGATGGTTTAGTTGTTGCTGAGCAGTGCTTACACTAGTCAAGGACTTTCCAGCTTCCCATGCTCTACCGACTGAGAAGGCTGGAGGGGCACAAGAAGCTGGGAGGGGGCACAGCCAGGACAGCTGACCCAAACTGGCCCAAGGGACATTCCATACCATGTGACGTCATGCTCAGTACATAAACTGGGGGAA